CAAAAGACAGCTTCACAGGCACAGACCCAATTTTGTGCTGTTCTTCAAATCCTCTATTTCCTTCTGAACTCAGATCTAGTTCTATAATTTTCTAAAGTTAGAAGTGGACTTCTATAAAACTCTCCAGCTGTTATTGTAGAACTGAAATGATCTACCTCATTTCTGGTCATTGTTGATTGGCATATTTTGAGGGCATGAAGCAAGGTGTGTCCGACCATAGAGCTGCTCAACATTCTTGACTCATTGACTTTGTGATGTCCATGGTCCTCACCCCTTTCAACTCCATGGAGCCTCCTCTTGAATTGTATGGTCTTACAACATGTGTTTTATTTCTTCAAATCCATAAAGTGACACTGTACAGTCCATGTTCATGAGACATGCCACACGTGCCCTTCAATTCTACACCATTGCTTTGTTTTCTACCTTGTTGCTTGTGGCTTTCCCTCATTTTATTCCTACCTCAAAGCTCTTTTCAGCACTTCACTTGGTTCAGATGCTTTTGACAGCTTTTATTCCCCATGGAACCTGCCTATAAAGTTGGAGTTCTCTCCTATTACCAAAGGACAGCATCCCAGGAGCAGACCCAAGTTTGTGCTTCCCTTCTTCCTTCAGATGATAAAGATACAATCTATGGTATTCAGGCCTCCAGTGTTTCACCAGGAAGTCCTCTGCTACTCTTCCGTAAGACACAATGGCTCTTTCTGGTCTTCTCTCACTATTCTTCTACTGTACTGCGTCCTTGAATTTCAGCCTAAATGTGTCTAGCTGTGATATCCTGAAATGGTCTTCGCACTGTGGCAGAGACCTCTGACAATTTAAAGTTCTGGTCTATTTTACATCAAAAACCTTTACCACTCTGTTCATTCTCTTTCTTGCACTGAAGCCATTTTCCCTCCATGCCGCGTTGTATGTAGTGCTCCATTCCTCGAGTTCATCCCTCCCTTCTCCAAGATTAGATTTGAGATTTCCTCATCTCCCACCCTCCACTAATCTCTCTGGCTTTATTTAATATGCTGCTAAACTAGCCTGCTCTGCTTTCACTTCACTTACTGTGTTCTTCATTTCTAAAAGATATATTTGTTTATTTTTTACAGAATTGAAGTTGCCACTGAAATTCTCTTTGTTTCAAATTTTCTTGAGAAAAAAACAACTCAGTTAGCCAAGCACATATTTGAATATTCAGACATCTGAGTGGGCCTCCTGTAGGCATGATTCTATTGCTTGTTTTATTTCCTGGTCCTGTGCCCCCGTTGCTCTTACCATTTAGTCTGTCTGGAGACATTTGACTGAAGGGAGCCACAATGGATGAAAACATACAAAGGTCATTAGAGCCTTTGTTGAAGTTGCTTAGCCCAGGGAGGATGAAGTGCCGTTTCTGGCAGAGAGCTGTGCTCCAGAAGGGCACCTGAGTCCAGCTCAAGCTCATTCAGGTTCTGCCTCACTTCTTCCTGAGAGTAGCCCTTGGCTTTGTTTCAGAGTTTGCGACTGAAAGCCTGGGTGCTTTGCCAGAGTCTCCCCTCTCTTTAGGTCCCAGGCTCTTACTTCTCTCCCATTCTGAGGAGAGGAAAAGCTCTGCCCCTGGGCCTCTGGACTGTGATCTGGCTCCAGAGGGAAGTCCTCAGGTGGCCCCAGGCTCTGTTCTCACACCCCACTCCATCCCATGGTGCCTTTGGTTTCTCTGGGGCCAGCTGCTCAACTTGACAAAGCACTTCACACCACACAGGAAAGGTTGGCCCCAAATAATCATTTTCAGAACTAAAACTTGCTCTTCAGAAATTTCTTTACAGAGAAAGTCCATCCTTTTCAAGCTATTTTTGTCAGGATCTACTGTGTATTGGGCACCATTTTTGTCCCTAGAGATGGTATGGCGAAAAGGAAGAGCAAGGGCCTGGCTCCCAGATGTCCCCTTATATGGGGGAAGGGAAGGAGAGAGAAAGTAGGGACCAATAGGGACCCTCAGTCAGAAGAGCTCAGAGAAACTTAGAAGGCCAGTGATAGGGGAGTGTGCTTTCTGGTACTAAGTGGGATGAATCCATACCCAAACCAGGCAGGGCTGAATTCCTGCTCAAATTGGAACCTGCAGGTCTTACCTCATCTGAGAAAACCTGTGTGGGCCCCAGGGAGAGCGTGGGAGGCTCCTTGCCCTGCATGTCTCTTTCTCCTGTGGCTCTTGTGTCCTCTAAAGTAGTGGAGACAGGTGCAGAAGGCAGCAGAGCCTTCTCACTGCTCGGCCTCACTGTGTCTGGGCCTGATGTCTCTGTAGCTGGTTCTGCAGCTGAGGCTTCTGCTCCTGTCCTGTCAGCAAGGACCTGCTTCAGGGGCTGACACCGTGGCAGAGTGTGGTGTTTGCTCCTGTAGTTACTGCACTTTCAGAAGACTGTGGGACCCACTCCCACCTCTGACAACCTAGGCAGTTTGGGGTAGGGCGTGGCAAGTGTCTACAGGTATCTTCTTGTATTCCACTGAGACAGCCCCATGATATGAGGGCTGACCTGAATTAGCATCATCTTTAGGACAAGGTACAGGTTTCAGCTATGCCAGGTTCAGGGTGAGAGAGGAAGTCTCCCCTCACAACCCACAAGACACATCTCATTCTGTAATGACAGAGGCACACGTGTGCATGGTGTGTAATACGTGAAACCGTGATTGACATGACATTGTGGAGTAGGTGTTCCTGGTCCTGGTGATATGAAGTCTGTCCATGAGGCTGGAACCCATGGACTTATTCTTTGCTACATAGTGGGAAAAATTGAACAGAGACAGTGAGAAGAGCTCATGATGAAGCTGGGCTGAGTAGAAGAAGGCACAGTGAACATGGGGTAGCCCGGGTGGGTGAGGCTGCAAGATGGTTCCAACCCACACCATGTTTCTTGTGGTCATACCTGGGACCCTAGGCATCATGCTGGACCACTGACACCCCAGTCCTCAGCACTCCTGAACCTGAATAGGCCCAGGCTGCCCACTGTTGATCCTAGATAGATGTGGTCGGAGATCAACAAACCAGACACACTGAAAATAAACATCCTTGATGACAACAGAGTTGGGTCACCAACAAGGAAGGACATGCTGGGGACATCCTCAGGGATGAGGATAAAAGGCCAGAGCCCAGCACCTCACACAGCACTTACACTCACATACTCATCCACACACTCGCACACTTATCCCTTTTCTCATCCAACCTGCCATGGCCGCCTCCACCATGTCTGTCTGCTCCAGCACTTACACTGAACCCTGGCAGGTGGATGACTGTCCAGAGAGCTGCTGCGAGCCCCCCTGCTGCACCTCGAGCTGTTGCCAGCCCAGCTGCTGTGCCCCCAGCTGTTGCCAGCCCAGCTGCTGCACCTCAGCCCCATGTCTGAGCCTCATCTGTACCCCTTGCTGCCAGTCAGGTTGTACCAGCTCCTGCACGCCCTCATGCTGCCAGCAGTCCAGCTGCCAGCCAGCTTGCTGCTCTTCCTCCTGCCAGCCGTCCTGCTGTGTGCCTGCCTGCTGCACACCTGTCTGCTGCAAGCCTGTGTGCTGCACACCTGTCTGCTGCAAGCCTGTTTGCTGCACCCCTGTTTGCTCAGGCAACTCCTCCTCCTGTTGCCAGCCTGCTTGCTGCTCCTGTTCCCCCTGCCAACCATCCTGTTGTGTGCCCGTCTGCTGCAAGCCTGTCTGCTGCACACCCTGCTGCTCCTCCGTGTCCCTGCTCTGCCGCCCTGTGTGCAGACCTGTCTGCTGTCTTCCAGCCTCCTCCTGCTGTGCCTCCTCCTGCCAGCCCAGCTGCTGCCGCCCAGCCTCCTGTGTGTCACTGCTCTGCAGCCCGGCCTGCTGTCCCCCAGCCTGCTGTAGCCTCTCCTTGGGCCAGAAGTCCTGCTGCTGAGTTCTGGCACTGCACCTCGGTGTGCCCTATCCATATATGGAGACCACAGAGTCCACTTCAATGATCAGGCCTGGGAAAATAGCAAAGGAAATAATATAAAATGTCGCAGTGACAATAATATGCTCTAATAAAAATTTAAAATGCTCTGAAAGGCTTATTTCTGGAATTTTCCATGTAATATTTCAAACTGTAGTTCTCGACACGTAATTGAAGGTGTGGGATATGGTGGACCCACGTGTTCTCTATAAAGAAGAAAGATTTTCAGAAAGTGAAGGAGGAGGAGAGACACAGATGGGAGGGAAAGAGGCAGCACTGTGCTCCTAGAGATGGAAGCAAGGCACTGAGTGAAAATGGGACTCAGTGGGCCTTGGCATAGGGTGGGTGGGAGGTTGGGTGGCTGCAAGGTGGTAGGCGAAGGATAGAAGTGAAGCTCAGAAGAACTGAGATGCTGCCCAGGCCCAGCTCTGACCTGTCCCAGAGCTCCAGGAGGCAAGGAAACAATCACTGTGCCTCAGAGTAACCATTTCTGAGCCCAGATGGTGGAAGTGAGGAGAGCCCGGCAGCCCCTGAGATCACTGCAGTGAAGGGGTGGGCTGCTCAAGGACTTCTTTCCTCCCTTTGGTCATTCAGACATGAACCAGTTGTAACGCCTAGAACTGAGGATGCGTTCCTTCACTCCTATACTACTGGTCATCAGAAAGCGCCGGGCAGCTGCCTCCCACCGAGGTGTGATACAGCAGGGCCTGCAGTGGGCAGCCAACAGATCTGGCTGTGCACAGTCAGGGAAACGTTCACCTTCATCCTCTGGGGTGCAGGACTGAATAGCACCCCTTGGCTGTGCAGTGAAGAGTGGACATACAGCCTCTGACCCCCACAGAGGGAAGCCTCTCTTGGCTACACTCCTTACCATCATCCTGGAGCAGCTCCAGGGGGATGGGCCTTGTGACACAATCCTTCACCCTTGAGAAAAAAGTAACCAACATTTCGGATACAGTTGCCTTCCTTCCCTGGACACCTTGTCCTTCTACTTCTTTGGCCCATGGTGACGTGCGTAGCTCCAGGAGAGTCACACATACAACCTCCACAGGTCAGTGGGAGCCCTCTGGCTATCTTACATCAGGTCAACTTCAGATGGGGACCCAGTGCCCACTGCCCATCAGCCCCCAAACTGTTTTCTCCCAGGAATGAGAGACAGGGCTTTGTTCTGATACCTCAGGAAATGCAGGATTTCTACCAAATGCTGGTTATGGAGGAGATGCTCTAAATCTAGAGGGCAGGGATCACAGGGTCACTACCACCAGCCATGACTGTTATTTTGGTGACACCTATAGTGGAAATCTAAAGGGCTGCTTCCACAAGGCAAGCTAGAACAGATAACACAGACAACCTGGGAGAAGGCAGATGGGACATAACAAAAGCAAGACAATGTCATGGACAAGTTCTGCTAACAAATATTCACATCTCCAAATGCACAGGCTAGAAAGCAAAATGTAATTATTCAATTCAGTTAGTCTTACTAGTTTGGCAGATGTTTCATACACTAACTTCTTACATTTATTGAAGACTACAGACCAATCAGGAAAACCATAACTTGAATACTGCTGAACAACTCTCAGGACTACATTCATCAGGAAAATTATTTATTAAATTATAAAAACATTAAAATGGCCCAGTTTTACAAAAAAAAAAAGTAAAAACAAAATATTCATAGAATTTGTAAAGCTCTAGCAAATGTAATAAAATAAATATGCTAGAAAATAGTTTAACGTTTAATTTAACAAAGTTAGGGGAGGAAATTTTAGTGCATTTAAAATATAAGTAAATGAAGGGCAGCTTGTGTGTCTGGGACACCCTGAAGGTACTTTTCTTTGCACACCTAAAGCTACCTGTGGCAGCTCTATAGCTGTCATCATGCCGCAGAATGAATATATTGAATTACACCATAAATGCTATGGGTACCACTTTGATTACCATGAGAAAAAGAGAAAGAAGGAAAGTCAAGAGGCTCATGAATGTTCAAAGAGGCAAAAAAAAAAAAAAGATTGACCTGAAGGCCAAGCTGTACCACAAACAGCGCCATGCAGAAAAAATACAAATGAAGAAGACTATCAAGATGCGTGAAAAGAGAACACCAAACAAAAGAATGATGAAAAGACTCCACAAGGAGCAGGACCTGCCTACCTGCTGCACAGAGAGGGACAGTTTCGTGCAAAAGTACTTTCCAACATGATTAAACAAAAATGAAAAGAAAAGACGAGAAGATGGGAAGTTCCTTTGCCCAAAGTTTGTGCCCAAGGAGAAACAAAAGTGTTAAAAGTTATTTGAACTGGAAAGAGAAAAAAGAAGGCATGGAAGAGGATGGTTACTAAAGTCTGCTTTGTTGGAGATGGCTGTCCAAGAAAACGACCTAAATATGAAAGGTTCATTAGGCCAATGGGCTTATGTTTTAAGAAGCCCACGTAACACATCCTGAACTGAAAGCCACCTTTTGCCTGCCAATACTTGGTGTGAGAAAGAAGCCTTCATCACCACTGTATACAACTTTGGGTGTTATTACCAAAGGAACAGTGATTGAGGTGAACGTGAGTGGGTTGGGCCTTGTGACACAAGGAGGCAAGGTTATCTGGGGTAAATACGCCCAGGTAAGCAGCAACCCTGAAAACGCTGGATGCATCAAGGCAGTCTCACTAGTTTGAAAGAAGTTTCATACAATAACTTCTTACACTTACTGAAAACTACAAACCAATCAGGAAAACCATAACTTGAATACTGCTGAACAACTCTCAGGACTACATTCATCAAGAAAACTGTGTATTAAATTGTAAAAATAATACAATGGCCCAGTATTACAAAAAATAAAATATAGTATAAGTGAAGTATAAAACAAAAGATTCATAGAATTTGTAAAGCTCTAGCAAATATAATAAAATAAATATACACATTAGAAAAGGAGTATGCTCACAGATTCAGAGATTTATTTTTCAAGTAGGAGAAAGTAATAGATGCATATATTGCTGCAATATATGAAATATATATATTAAAATTTAAAAATGTGAACAAACTATACAATGGTATAAAAAATGTAAATTACTGAACTGGGGCTCTAGCAGAGTGAAAGAGAACCTGCCTAGCACATATGAACCACTGAGCTCACTCCCCAGCACTGAAAAATATATATTTTACACTGATAAAAGTGACAATTTTAATACAATGACAATTAGAAAACATTGACAGAGTATTTAAAGATCTGAATCTTTAAAACACACAGATTCACATGGTTTTAAAGATGTATGCCACGAGTCTTCATATATAGACCTTTCCTGTGCTATTTAAAACACTCTGCAGCTTAGGATAAGACAGAGTGTCTCTGGATTTATCTATTAAGACCAGGAAAATCCTCAGTTCAAAGCCAACAGGGGCAGGGTGGTGGTAAAGGATGTACTCACTTAAACATTGCAATGGTTGATACATTGCATTAACTTGAGAATTTAGGAGATTAGAAGCCTAGCTAAGTGATTCAGCAGGGAGCCAGGGTCCTCACTTTGCAAACATCCTGAGCCTATGCAAGAGCAGGGTAGTGAGATAGTGTGAGTGCTACAACCTAGGAGAGGATAGCCTGGATACAATATAAGGGAGGAAAAGAGGCTTGCCCCCTCCTTTTGCTTTTCTGCTTTTGTTGTCTGCAGCTGCTGTGAGCTGTTACCTCTGTGCCATGCTGCCCTGCCTTGGAGACAGCTGATTATGGGCTGAAACCTCCACAAACTGTAGGCTGTTATGGTTCGTGTCTAGTTGTCCCCCTAAAACCTCATGCAGTCATGGAGTGGGGGCATCTAGAGTTTGTGACTAACTCATGATCCACTAAGATTATGCATGATGCAAGGCTGGGATTATGGATCTTAGTCCTGCTGGGATTATGGGTGTATGTATTACACCCAGCCTGGGGCAGATAGCCTGAATGTAATATAAGAGAGACAGAGAGACAGGCTTTTTCTCCATTGCCATTGTTGTTGTTTGGCTACCATGAACTGCTGCATTCTGCCATGTGCCCCTCTGCCTTGAAGCCAGCTGAATATGGACTGAAACCAGTTGCCCTCCACTCGCTGCAGCAGAGGGCTTGACTGACAAGACACCGGCTACCTGAGAATGTCTCAACGGACAAGGAAGATGTAGTGTGGATTTGCAATGGAGCCCCATTCAGCCTTCGAAAAGAAGCGAATCCCAACATTGAGAGCATAGAAGGATGTGGAAGACTTAGCAATAAGTTAAAGAAACCAAGGACAATCCTGAGTGGTCTCACTTTCTGTGGAATCTAAAATTCACAGAGGAAGAGTGACACAGAGGCTACCAGGGAATTGAGTAGGAAGGACAGGGGGCGGTCAAGGCAGGGTGCAGGGTCCAGCAGTGCAGAGTCTGAATGTTCTGAGATCTGCTGTACAGTGCGGCAACAATAGGGGACAACATAACTCCAGATCCTTGACATCTACCATAAGGAGAGGAGACCTCCTCTGTGCTGCAAGGAGAGGTGATGTCTTGCTATATTCAAGAGGTCTCTAAGTGAGTGTGGGGGGGGTATGTGGAGTAGCTCAGCAATGTTCACCATCTAGTTTTGTACACATGGAAGATCCTCACACTGTGCATCTTACACATATATCATTTTAATTTTCCAGTTGTACCTAGTGAAGCTTGAGTGAAAGAATAATGTGTCATTCCCAAGTAGAGCACAGAGTGTAGTTAGAATTGGCATGTTTGAGTACTCTTGGTCAGGCAGAGACAGAACCTGTGAGAATCAGACCATGCCTGCATCCAGCCAGTTGACACCTGCTTAGTGGCCAGTGTGGGTGTGAAATGTGTGGAGGAAACCCATCTCTTTGTGTCCTGTATAGTGACATAGTGTCTACCCTCTGGTGTCTAGCCTCTACCATTGTGTCCTGGCCCTCGGCATTTTCTCAGCCAACACTGGCTGGTTGCTATGTTACCATTCACTCAGATGTTGAGCAAGTGACAACCATGGCAACCAACTTGCCTGTTGGCCCCAACCAGGTCCCAAAGCAAAAACCTGTCCTGAGAGAGGGGATTCAAGTGTGGTCAAAGAGCTGAACCTCAAAGGTCTGTGGGGTTAAGAGAAGGGAACAGGAGGACACTTTGGTCAGTCACCTCCAGGCAAGATCTAAGGAGAGAATCTGCACAGAAAACAATTGTAGATGAGAAGTAGGAGGCAGTGGAGTTAGGTGAGCATTCAACTGAGTGGATCCTGAGATGCAGTGTGCTCCAGGGCTTGTCCTAGAAACCAGTGAGGCTTCCCAGTCTCTTGTCCTAGCACAGGCAACAGGTGCAAGGCTTTCCAGGAACCTGGCCTAAGGGAATTAGGCAAAAGTTTGGGTGAAGCAAACCAGGCCATGGCTGGTGGAGCAATTAGACAGCACTTGTGGGTTGTCAGGTTTTATGGGTTATCTGACTTCCCTAAGTGTTTCTGGCTCTTCATGAATAAGGCTGACTTCTTGAAAAGGCCACACTATGGTGGTGGGGCTGAGAAATGAGAGAGCAACATTCTGTAGTGCCAGGATCATTGAATTTTCCTGAAGGTGATTCTGAATTCCTCAGTTCCAGAAGGTGGAGTAAGTTCCTGGCTCACCACTAAACCCATAGAAAGAATGGGTGTTATCCACCTGTCTGTCTTTTTAAAGATAAATTTATATTGTATAAAAACAAGCCATGGATTCAGCAGGACCTTTCAAGTGCTATAGAATAGAGAAGTGGATGGAAGAGATTGGTAGAATAGGACCCCAAAACACCAGAACAAAATAAGGTAGTCAGAAAAATGGTGAGCTGCCTTATCTAATGTCCTGGGAAACAAGTGGTTTAAGAAATGAGAAAGGACCAGGTGTGGTGGCACACACCTGTAATCCCAGCACTTGGGAGGTTGAGACAAGAGGATCACTGTGAGTTACAGATGAGCCTGGGGGCCACAAAAGTGAGCACAAGGCCAGTCTGAACTGCATAGTGAGACTGTCTCAAAAATAAATAAATTAATTTTAAAAACAGAAATAGAGAAAAACTTTAAAAAACTTAAGAAACATCATTGGTGTTATGAAGAACATACTCCACCCTTATAACAAGGCAAAATCAAGCTGGTATAAAAAAGAAACAATTGGAAATAATTTTTGAAAACTGAAAGATTACAAATGGGGGCTGGGGAGATGGCTCAGTGGAATAAGTGCTTCCCTGGTAAGCCCAAGGGCCTGAGTTCAATCCCCGGTTCTGCCAAAAAAATAAATAAATAAGTAAATAAAATATTACAAATAAATATGTCAATGTGTGGGCCAAATAATAGGGTGGAAATGACTAAAGATTGGGATGTGGTCTCAAAATAAGATCAATATAATCTCCTAGAGAAGAGAGAAAGGGATAAATATGAGGAGAGTGAGTGAAGAATTAAGAAATATGTCAACCAAGTTCTTGAAGCTGTAATGTCTAGAGTAACAACAAGAAGAGCCAGAAAAGAGGATGTTATTTTTAAATCACCACAAAACATTTCCTGAGATGAGTTTTCATGCTAGAAGATTCAATGAGCTCCAAGCACATAATAAAACAACACACAATTCTAGAAGCAAGTAGATGATGTTCTTGAACAAGGATGAAGAAAGAAAACCAAATATTCTCAAACACAAAGAAATGGCAAATGACAAACACTGAACCCTCACAAACAACCTAAGATATTACTACAGAGAGAGAGAGAGAGAGAGAGAGAGAGAGAGAGACAGAGAGAGAGAGAGACAGAGACAGAGAGACAGAGACAGAGAGACAGAGACAGAGACAGAGACAGAGGATCGGGTAGGGTAGGATAGGGTAGGATAGAATAAAGCTATGTCTTCATTGTTTTGAGGAAATATCTAAAACTAGAATTCCATACCCAGGCAAACTATCACAGAAATGTGATGGTGGCATCCATGCCATTTTTATACATACAGGGAACCTTGTAATGTAAAACCCACAACCGTGTACAAAATATTCTTTAATCTTTTGTGATGGCAAAATGAGAATGGAAAATATCAAAAGGGACTCTCTTTGACTACCTCATGGGGGAATAGAAGAATTGAAAAAAGAAAGCACTACTCCACAGGAGTTGGATCCCTGAGCCGCTCCTTCACTAGGCATAGGTGACATGAACCAGAAGTCTCGTTATCCAATCCTTGGTGCCAGTTTTATTTTGTAAGATGTGGATTTTTTTTTATATTTATATTTTAAAATGCTTAAAGCAATAAAAATGTAATCAAAACAAGGATTGGTAGAATGAGAAGGGTTTATCTCTAATGCTTCACTCAGCAGAAGCCTGCATCACAAATTTACTGTGACTTTTCCAGAGCCAAAATGAGAGCAGAGGAAACAAACAAACACAATCAAAACAAGAGCAAAGGGGGAAACAGAGTCCTGCGCCACAGTACAGTGTTAATACCTAGCACTAATGGAGGACCTCGCCTGTCAGCTGTCCATGTCAACAGGAAGGGGTGGCTTGTGAAGCCACTTTTGGGGACAATACAATGCAGGGAGGAGTATAAAAGCCTGAGAGCCCCACAACTTTCTCATACACTCACTCACATTCACGTATACCCACTCACACCCTCTTCTAACACAACACCAACATGGTTGCCTCCACGATGTCCATCTGTTCCAGTGACCTGAGCTATGATAGCCGGGCCTGCCTGCCTGGCTCCTGTGAGTCTTGCTCTGATTCCTGGCAGGTAGATGACTGCCCAGAGAGCTGCTGTGAACCACCCTGCTGCACCTCCAGCTGCTGCCAGCCCAGCTGCTGCCAGCCCAGTTGTTGCAACACCAGCTGCTGTGCCCCAGCCTCCTGCCTGACCCTCATTTGCACCCCAGTGAACTGCATGTCCAGCCCATGCTGCCAATCAGGCTGTACCAGCTCTTGCGCACCTTTGTGCTGCCAGCAATCTAGCTGCCAGCCGACTTGCTGCTCCTCATCGTGCCAGCCATCCTGCTGTGTGCCCGCTTGCTGCACACCCGTCTGCTGCACGCCTGTCTGTTGCACACCTGTCTGCTCAGGCACCTCCTCCTCCTGCTGCCAGCAGTCTAGCTGCCAGCCTGCTTGCAGCTCCTGCTCCCCCTGCCAGCCATCTTGCTGCATACCTGTCTGCTGCAAGCCCATTTGCTTCAAGCCTGTCTGCTGCACGCCCTCCTGCTCCTCTGTGTCCCTGCTCTGCCGGCCTGTGTGCAGACCCACCTGCTGTGTGCCCACCTCCTCCTGCTGTGTCTCCTCCTGCCAGCCCAGCTGCTGTGGCCCATCCTCCAGTGTATCTCTGCTCTGCCGCCCTGCTTGTCCCCGCCCGGCCTGTTGTGGTGTCTCCTTGGGACAGAAGTCCTGTTGCTGACCAGCTCACTGTTCTGGCTGTTTCTGCTCCTGAATAGAACTGTCAACTCTTGAAAGCCCTGCATACTGCTATGCGCCATCAGTTATCCCTCTCCAGACTGGTGGCCACATAGCTGCTGCTTGAAGAAAGCTAAGTTGTCCACAGGGTGGAGAGTGGGCCTCCAGGACACTTTCTCAGGCAAGTGTTCTGATGAATCTGATTAACAAAGGGCAATCACTATAACTATTAAAATGTTGTGTCAGTAAATATAGGTTGGTGTGCCTTTTCTTTGCTTCTCTGATCCCCTGTGACCACTGCAAGTTTTGACTACGGGTCCGTTGTCCTATAAAAGCCAGGTAGACCTATTCCCAAGCGACTCCCAAACAGCAGTTTAAAGATATAGAAGAGACATCACATGTGCTTGGGTATCTGCACTTGATATGTATTGGCTCTCTGCTGTTGCATACTCTAAGGACTGGAGGCTTGGGTGGGGTGGACAATGTTGTGCACAAGCAGGCTTGGAGGACATGGAGTACAGGGTGAGGGCCCGCCTCTCCATCTGGAATGGAGCAGCATTGCTGCAAAGGAGGGCCCACCTAGTCTGGAGGTGTGTGTGGTCTGTGTGGGGATGGCCAGGTGGGAGGTTGGGGGCTAGTGGCTGTTTCTAACCACACCTAGGAGGGGCCTCAGTAGCTGCATCTCAGCTGCGGGTGGGGGAGCTGCAGGGAAGTGCCTGCAAGTAGGGCTGGGCAACAGGGCCAGTAGCACAAAGGATAGGCCACTTGCAGGCATGCCCACTACAGGCTTGTAGCTCACAGCCATACAGCAGGCTGGCTGTAAGGACACAGCCACGTCACACACAGGCTGGCATAGCAGGACCATACAGCAGACCTGGTGGTGGCTGCAGATCCTGAAGCCCTGGGCTGGGCAGTAGGGAGCAGAGACACAGCACAGGGCTGTAGGGCAACCAGGCAGGCAACCCAAGGAGCAGCAGGGGTAGCTCTGGAGGCTGTGGCCCAGGGCCACCTTTATATTTGGCTCTGGGTGTCCTGGCCATCTGAGGTCTTTCCTGAGTTCATGATTGCCTCCTCCTCCTCTGCCGTGGTCCCCTTGGGATTTCTTCTGAGTCATTCTGTCCCCAAAGCCTTTCTCAGCGGGGGGCTCCCTATAATTCAGCAAGCCATGTGCTCGGGACTTGAGTCTCACTAGATAGATAGACCAAGTGGAGGGCTGGTGACCAACCTCATGGGTTAGGATGCCCCGTTATATCTGTGCCTGGCTTTTCTGTGGAGAGGTCCAAGATTCCATTGTCAGTGTTTTGGACAGGAAATGTTTTTTTTTTTTTTTTTTTTTTTTTTTTTTTTTTCCCTTGCTTCCAAGATTTTCTCTTTAGTTTTGGTTTTTATTGATTTTTTAGCATCCAAAAAATTGGTTCCCTTATATTTATCCTACTGTAGTTTTGAAACTCTTGATTTTGTAATTTCATTATTTAAAAAAACCCTATTCCAACATGAGGATTCTATCTATTGTTTCATCAAACTTTGTTTATGGTTCAGTATAGTTCTCTGCCCCTCTGAGATCATGGCATGTGGACTGTTTGATTTTAACACGTTCTCTTTTTAGCTTTCTTCTCTCTCTTCAGACTGAATCATTCCCACTGGTTCTCTTCAAACCCAACCACTCCTTCTGTGTTCCAGCTCTGCACCACAGGTCCCACAGGGATGGGGATGTCCTGGGGTCTACAAGCCCCAGACTGTCCAGCTACTGCCCCTGTGCCCGGTGCCCCAGGAATACCCCACTCCTCACACCATCAGTCCTTCTGGTGATCTTCATAGTCCCCAGCCCTCTGCACTCACAGGCCAACTCAACACTGTTTTGCAACAGCTGAAGTCATCCACCAGCAGCCCAAATTCTTTCTGGACCTTTGAAAGACCCAAACATCCCTGGACTCATTCCAGGGATGAAATGGATACTTTCATTTCCATTCATGTATTTTCTCCTTTCCCACTGTAGAGCTGAACCTCCTCTCCCGTGGGGCCTGGACCTTTCTGCTACTGCATACAGTGTACAAGATCTGATCACAAAACACACTGAACATTAATTTTTTATTACAGTAAATGACACACTGTCACAAATCCCCACCAGAATTCTTCCTCTTGCCTTGAACATACTCCTTCCACCGTCTGCCATTTTCTGCAGCAGCTCTGGAGTCCTCTTTCCTGAGCATCTTTAGTTGTGCTGTCCTTGCTGCCTTAATGTCCTGAATCCATTCAAAATATTTCCCTTTCATAGTCCTTTTGACTTTGGAGGAAGAGCGTTAGTTTTTTTTTTTTTTTTTGGTGGCCTGAGGTTGCCTTCAGTGCAGGTCTGGTTCAGCTTGAGTGTCTGGGTTTCGAACCACAGCACCCTGAGGCTGACTGCTTTGTCTAAGCATGCACTTAAACAACTGAGCTAATGGGAAGGCCCCCATAAGCAGCAAAAGGGTTTTGGTTTTTTATTTATTTATTTTTTTGTGACTTTGGAGGAAGAGCAAGAAGATCCATGTCCAAATCCAGATGTCAGATCCAGTAAATAAAGTGGATGAGGGCACAAGGTCACATTTTTAGATCCTACCTTTTTGTCGGATGGCACTCATTTACTGTATTTTTTTTTTTTTTTAAACACACTGATGATACTGCACAAAGTCACTGAGGAAAGAGGGCTTCAAAGTTGATTTTGAAAGTGACACAGATGACCGGATAAGTGTGTTAAAAGCAAAGAGGAGAATTCTAAGGGGGGGTGTGGCAATATGTTTTTTTACTGTAATATATATTTTAAAATTAAAACATTCACTGTTTTTGATTGCCTCTTAATTTTTGCTTCATAAGCAAATAAATTTTATATAAATTAGTGCATGGCAGGGGGAGATTAATTTCTGAAAAAGGCAGTAAAAGTGTTTGTTTTTACATGACACACAACCTCTCTTGCACTGACTCAGCTCTGCCACTGTGATGGAAAAGCAACCAAAGACACCTGTACACAAGAGGGTATGCTGCATTCCAATAAAACTTTATTGACAAACAGGCACGGGACCAAAGTCAGTTCATAGTTAATAATGTGCCAACTAATCATTAAAGATTCCCTGTGAAAAATAAGTCAAAATACATTATTGCCTCAAAATCTTCATTAGCAGCACGAGGCAGGAAAGAACAACATTACAGAGATTTCAGTCAGCCCTTGGTGCTCTGTAGACAACAATCTCCTGGAAAGACAACAGAAATCCTTGTGAAGCCAAACCAGAATATCCTGTTTGCGAAAGAAGGCAGCCTGGAAGCCACAGTGTTTACAGTGGAACAACACAGAGGGGAGCTAGTTCCAGGATGTGAAGATGCCTGGAAAGATGGGAAGAAAGCACCACACGGAAGACAGCAGTGTGCTCTGCCATGGTGATGTGACCCTGGGGATCTCAGTATAAATGCTGCTCAGGGCCACTTCCTCCCAGCCACAGCCATTTCAGCTACAATGTGCCACACCAGCTGTTCCTCGTGCTGCCAGCCTGCTGGCTGCATGTCCAGTCCCTGCCAGAGTGCCTGCTGCATGCCTGTGAGCTGCACACCTGCTGTGTGTGTGCCTGTGAGGTGCCAGGTTGCCTGCTCTGTGCCTGTGACCTGCAGGCCCGTCATGTGCATGGCCCCCTCCAGCCAGTCCTCTGTGTGCCTCCCTGTGAGCTGCAGGCCTTCCGGTTGTGTGGTTTCTTCCTGCCAGTCCTCAGGCTGCTGCAAGCCCTCCTGCCCCACCCTTCTCTGTAACCCTGTCTCCTGTGGCACCTCCTCCTGCTGCTGATGTTGGTTCTCCAGTTGCCCAGGAAGAGGGGACACAATTTCCAGGATCAGGTCCCTGTGGCCCAGGAGGAGTCTTGAGGCACATGAGAAGCCTGCTGAGTGAGTCCTGAACTCTGGGGTAAGCAGGTAGCAGGATGATTCAGATTCCCTGCCTGTGCCCATCTCCTTGTTCCAGAAATCTTTGCTAACCCCAGAGCCCAATAAATCAGTGTTCCTAGTGTAGTTCGCTTCTGTCTTTTATCTTCATGTTCTGAAGTCCCCTCCCCCAAAAGTCCAGCAATTTAAGGACAGCAGCCCCTCCTTAAGGAGCCCTTTCATCATGCCACTGTCCCCACACTGCCTCCTGCCACTTGCCTGGGTTGGGAGATGGGGCTAGGGGACAGGTCTAGGTCCACTGCTGTGCTATGCCTCTGTGACAGGGTGGGCAGACCACTCCCCAAGCAATCAGCTGTCTGTGGTGGGGAGCAGAAATATCTAGCAAGAATTGACCTGAGACTATGGAGGGCTGAGTGCACCTCGAGGAATGGCCTGGTAGAAGAGACACCCCACTTCTAGGGGAGACAGAGTCATGTCCAGTATATCATATGTGAGGTCTGGCAGCCAGTAGACAATTATGTCCATACACAAATTGGCAAGGCAGAATGAATCTATTATCAAGAGACAAAGCAACCTGCAAAATTGGATTTAAAAATGACCCAGGATGATTTTTTTTTTGGGGGGGGGGTCTGGCTCAGGATGCCTTCAGGGAAGGTCTGGCAAGGCTTGAGGATATGGAGCTCAAACCACAGCACCCTGAGCCGGACTGCTTTGTTGAAGCAGTCACTTAAACAACTGAGCTAATGGGCAGGCCCCCATGACCCAGGTATTAGAACTAGCACACATAAGCTTTAGAAAGCCCATGATTCATCTATTTACAAAATTACATGTTTATGAATAGACTGAGGATTTCAGCATGAACATGAACTAGGGGAGCCAAATGGATAAGGTAGAAATCAAAGCACAGCACAGTGGGCTCACTGGTGTACTTGACACCATCAAGAGCAGAGCCAGTGAACCTGAAGATAGAAAAAGAGAAAATGTCAAATGATTAGCTACATGTTGGAAGCAGCCTGCATGCCCATCAACAGATGAACGGGTAAAAAGAATGTGCTACTTCTCTGCCATAAAGTAGGATCTGCTTGTGTCATTTTTGGGTAAATG